TAATCATTGGCCGGCAGTGGAATTCCTCGCTGGCTGGTAATTCTCGCTCTTTCTGACGTGCTCTAGGATTTATCCCAAGAATTTCTTGCAGTACATTCTCTCCTGTTCAATGAATTTCATTCGAAACGGCGAAAAGCCATTAGTGAGTTCAAATGGAGTAATGCGCTATGAAATGTCCCAGTTCTTAGATGCTTAACCAACGAAACGAAATATTAGAATATCCCACGCGCGTAATACAATCCCCGTTCTAAAGGTAACCAAATTTAGCATTTGACCAGCAGACGCTTTCGAGACACTTACACACATACACATTCTCATGAGTCACTCGTAATTTTTTTTGATTTTTTTAACCCCCTCAATCCATGTTCCATTCTCTCCGGTATTTATGAGGTATTGCCGTTAGCAATTGAATTACCGCTCAAGATTATTCACACCCACGGTTATGAACCAGTGTCCGATGTGATTTTATTACGAAAATTTGGACAGCCGGTGAATTCTTGGGTTACAGCCACGTTATGCCACATTCGCGGTCTTGTCTTTACGTGAATTAAAAAATAACAACACCCTTCAATTTTCTATTTTTAATATTTATTCTTTCAAACTGTCGCGTACGTTCATTATCCGGAAAAAAAATCTCATGGAATTTATTCCAATCGTTGTCACACTCGATTCAGCTAATTCCCTTCGTCTAATTAAATCTGCAATTATAGATGATTGATTGTCATAAATTTCGATGATTCATTATCAATTTAATTAATGATTCATGTTATATTAATCATTAATAATATTCAGAGATAATAATTAGGTGGAAAATTTATTAAATATAGCTGATAAGAGATTTTATGTGATTTTCAACGTTTCACAATAGCAAATTTTCAAAATTCACACCGCGATGATTCACCAGCTACAAAAAACAATTCGAGTAATGCAGGTGTACGTAATTATTTCTGCATGAGTTGCGCTAATGCTTCACCACCTACCTCTACCCCACAACCGAAATTCAGAATTTTTGGCCATCTTGTAAGTTTAGCGTTTGCACAAGTTACCGATGAACTTTATTTTTGGATCGAACACCACAGTGTCCTTGGTACATGACGAAAATTCGGTAACACGGACTCATAAAGATTATTCCCGCTTCAATGTTTCATATTAATACGTGGGGATCTGCAACCCTTGCCCAGATCTCGCCGAACAGTCGACTAATATCTCGTTATTCTGGCATCTTCTCATGCGCCTACATGCGGCTATTCGCTAAACATTTTCTATAATTTTCTATTCCCAGCCAAATCAACTAAATTAAATTTACAATTCTGAGTTAATGACTCCCCATTGCCTTTGATATCGAACATCAAATCTTTAATTATGAAAAATTGACTATTACAGTGGATTCATATAGTGTAAATAACCCACCACGGGCTCCTACAATTTAAATAAATTAATTCAAAAAACCAAATCACTGGAATTTTTATAATCACTGTAAATTCAATTTTTTACTGTTTTTGGTATAATTGTTATAAAATTTAGGAAATATGACGGCGATTACAGTATGAAATTCTAGATATTTATAAAGTTTCGAGACAGCTGCTGTAAAACCAAAATTGGGAAAATATATGGGACGATTCGTTGGGTGCAAAGATGTGTGGACTGGAATGCGGCGGGTTCCAGAGATATTTTGAGATACCAGGGGTATCAACGAGGGCTGCATTTATTTCTGTTGATCGTTATTCAGAAAAAAAAATATTAACTATTCTGTTGACAGCGAGGGAGAATAAAATCATAAATCGCCAATATTTCATGACCGGATAAAAAATTATCCTCAGAGTGAAAAGACAAATTTTCCCTCCAGCCACTGAAATTATTTTCAACGTATTTTGAAACACTCGATATTAAAAAAAAAAGCACTGGAATTGGATTTTTATTTTACGAATTTGCGCTCTTCGCAGGGGATCGCTGATTAATCATTGGATTTACAAAACAAACTTGGCAGAACTCGAAAATTTACACAACTAAAATACTCGAATAACAATGTTCAACGAGCACCCCGAAATTGTTAAAAGAATCCTTATGACATAATGTTCATTTTCTGGGAATTCATAATGTTCTAATCTCGTAACCAACACGTGGCTCTGAGGTTTGGCTGAATTTTTGGGGGAATAATCACTGAGATATTGAAAATTTTTAGTGTCATCGCCGTGGGCGATAGCAATGGCATATGCACTAAAATAAATGAGTAAGCATTTTTGGCGATGGGCCACTCGAAGAAACACCTAGGTATAAACTATCAAAACTCAGGTTGGATGATTCACCAAGTACTCAGTCATCCTGACCAGCCCGCAATTGCTAATGTGTCATTACAGAGATCATTGTACACACATAAATATTTGCAACCATTCATTTTACGTCGATATCAATGATTTTAAGAAATTGGTACATCACTGAACTCATGTTTCAGAATTGCCATCCATTCTCCCTCGAGAACAGATTGGAAAATTGTCGGCGATTATTTATCACGTCTAAAACAGTCATCATCAAATCAAAAATAAAATTGAAATTCATTTTTGAAATAATCTGTGATATCGACTGCGTCATCTGTAGAATTTGTCTTTTAAATTTTATCCCTGGCCAGTAATTCGGAATTATTCCCAGCCTTACCGATGGCGGGAAAAAGCCATGACTGCAACGAATTTAAATAGTCCAGTGATTCCGATTAAAAAATCAATCTAACGTAAATTACGATAATTTTACTTATATCAATAAATCATTCATTTTATTCCGCGTATTCTTCATTTAATTATCGGTTAATTATTCATTCCCAAAGAAATGGCAATTACTACTCATTACTTTAATTATACATAAACACCTCAATTTCATCAATTGTTTGAATTAAACAATTATTCGGTCTTGTCTAATGATTAACAATTGTTTGTATATTTTGAAAACGAAACCTGGACAATCCCCAGAACTAATCCCATGATTATGTTGCCAGAATGTCCGCAAATATATTGGAAGATTTATGATCTAGAGTACGTAGAAACGTCATGTTCACAGAGCGCAACATCATTTAGATGACAATTTGAAATGCACCCCTCGTCCCAACATCTTACTCCTGCAGTGACAAAAAAAGTAATGGCCAATATCGATATCGGCAATAACTTCTAAAAGTTCAATACTTCATCTATCAATTTCAAAGTAGTCATCAATAAAGTAAGCGCTACATCCGGCCACTCAATTAATTCATGGAGCAAATCCAATGGATTAAACCCGTCGATGCTAATAAAATCAAATCAATTGAGAGCTTGAGATCCTCAAATGTATCTTCCGATTAATTTCCTTTTCCATAGCGTATCTGAGAATAGAAAGCTCCGAGTGAATGATTACAATTCACTCGGACTATATCCATCGGATGTCGTCAGAGGAAGAAGCAACACGCTCCAAAAATCTTCATGTTTTGTATGGCCAACGCCCACATGTCAGTCTGACAAATCTCCGGACGTTTCCACTTTTAGATTTTCCAATTCAGCCGTGTAATTACGTGCAATCTGCAAACAACTGGTTGAAAATATTGAGGGATAGGATTCCTCAGTTTGACTGTCAATTAATCAGGGGATTCCCAGGAAAATCCAGGGGAAATTAAAATTTGTTACAGAGTGGAATCATATTTTAATATGTTTTCACTGATATTTTGGTTGGCGTCTACGATATTTCAAGGGGAGAAGAGCCGACTATTTTGCATTGCAAACAACAAATTATGTTTTATTATCCTCGTAGACTAGAGGTATTTATTCAAATTTTAAAACGAAATACGAGTCGTGAATCGTACGATTTTGGAAAGAGATGGGAGCGATTTAACAACGCATTTTACGTCATTTAAATTGAATTGAGTATTGTTAATTCGAGAATCACAATTTAA